GTCTCCGGACGGTCTGTCTTTAGAGGGAACGTCTCCGGACGGCTTGTCTTTAGAGAGGACGTCTCCGGACGGTCTGTCTTTAGAGAGGACGTCTCCGGACGGTCTGTCTTTAGAGAGGACGTCTCCGGACCGTTTGTCTTTAGAGAGGACGTCTCCGGACGGTCTGTCTTTAGAGAGGACGTCTCCGGACCGCTTGTCTTTAGAGAGGATGTCTCCGGACCGCTTGTCTTTAGAGAGGACGTCTCCGGACGGTCTGTCTTTAGAGATGAAGTCTCCGGACGGTTTGTCTTTAGAGAGGGCGTCTCTGGACGGTCTGTCTTTAGAGAGGACGTCTCCGGACGGTTTGTCTTTAGAGAGGACGTCTCCGGACGGTCTGTCTTTAGAGAGGACGTCTCCGGACCGTTTCTCTTTAGAGAGGACGTCTCCGGACGGTTTGTCTTTAGAGAGGACGTCTCCGGACCGTTTCTCTTTAGAGAGGACGTCTCCGGACGGTCTGTCTTTAGAGAGGACGTCTCATGCTCTGTTCACTTGATGTCCCCCGCTCTGTGGAGCTTCATCAGTCCCCTATAATGTCTTAGTTCTTCGTGCTATAACAGCTATCAGTTAGCTTAGTAGTAACCCTTTATCCAGCTTTAGTGCCACCTGTTGTTATTAGATTATAACCAATATGTGATTTATCAAAAACAACAATGTTTATATAATGACTCTCACTGAACGAAGCCACAGGTCCGCACTGCAAGGCTAACCATGGGGGGTAAATAATAACTCAGATTTACATTCGAGAGACAACAACTCCATAGCTTTTTAGATGGGTAGCTAACTAGATAGCCACCGTTAGCTAGATTTACAGATAAATAGATGGAAAGATGGACAGCGTGCTAGCTAAATGCTAACAGCACCCTGACAGGTTAGCTGGTCTCTGGTTGTCTCTAAATGTCAGCTCTGTGGACCTTTGTCTTCTGTCAGTGAGAGTTATTATAAAGTGTCCACATGAACTCAAAATATTCACTTTTTCAGAAAATCTCAAAATACTGATATTTTTCTCTGAATGCCGACCTTTTTCTAAAAATCTCATAATTTTGACTTTTTCCAAAATCTCCACAATTTGACTTTTCTCTCGAAATCGAAAAATTCTGATTATTTTCTCAAAATGACAAAGTCTTGAGTTAAACTTGAATGTGGAAAAAAGACTTTTATCAAATTCTGAATTGTTCTAATAATCTCAAACTTTGGACTTTTTCTCAAAAAATTCAAAAATCTCAACATTTTTACTCATTTCTGAAAATAATAATGAAAAAACGAAAAAGCATGATGCTAGTGCTAACAGGAAGAGCTGAGACATAAGAGATTAAACAGGAAGTGGGGAAAAGGGTGGGGCTACATCAGGAGAAGGACGCCCTCTGATTGGTCTGTGCTTCATGGAGACAGGAAACAGGTCCGAGTGAGACGTCCGTCCTCTAAAACATCTCTGCAGAGTCATATCCGGATGTGGAAGTTACTGCAGAACAGAAACAGAAGTTAGAACTAGATCACTCTCAACATTCAGACATGTCTCTGCTACATCAACATGTGTCCCCTCTGTGTAAAGAGACTCTCTCTTTACACAGAGGGGACACGTGTCTCTCCTACATCAACATGTGTCCCGTCCCCTGGATGTCCTGATCCATTTATATAAAAACCTGTCTGAAAATGAGCTGATCAGATATTGGCCACTTTATGATGTCATAACAATGTTTTGGCTTGTGTATTTGTCTGTTTGGTGTTTCAGCCAATCAGATACCGGCTCTGGATATATCTGAGACCTGGGATATATTGATGAGAAACAGGATAACAGGGGACCTTTAAAATCTCAACATTTTGACTTTTTAATAACAATTGCAAAATTCGGACTCTTTTCTTTTTATCTAAACCCGGTCCAGAACCAGGGGTCCAGAACCAGGGGTCCAGAACCAGGGGTCCAGTAGAATGAAGGTCCGTACCTCAGGAAGTCCGGGGCCTTGGATACCATGTTCTCGAAGTCAGAGAAGGACAGCTTGTGGTCCCCGTCCAGGTCCGCCTCCTCCAGAGACTTATCACAGACCAGAGAGACCTCCTCGGGGGACAGGTCCCCTTTAGTCAGCTTGGTCAGTGTCTTCTGCAGGTCCTCCTTACATATGAAGCTGTCCCTGTTGAAGTCTGGACCAGAACCACAGGGTTAGAGACCAGAACCACAGGGATCCACAGGGTTAGAGACCAGAACCACAGGGTTAAAGACCAGAACCACAGTCCAGAACCACAGGGATCCACAGGGTTGAAGACCAGAACCACAGGGATCCACAGGGCTAGAGACCAGAACCACAGACCAGAACCACAGGGATCTGCAGGGTTAAAGACCAGAACCACAGGGATCCACAGGGTTAGAGACCAGAACCACAGGATTAAAGACCAGAACCACAGGGTTAGAGACCAGAACCACAGGGTTAAAGACCAGAACCAGAGTGTTAGAGACCAGAACCACAGGGTTAAAGACCAGAACCACAGGGTTACTCTGAGGACCTGGAATCAGTCCTGAGTCCTGAGTTCTGAGTCCAGAGCCCTGAGCCCTAAGTCCTGAGTCCAGAGTCCAGAGTCCTGTGTCCTGACCTGTGTCCTGAGTCCTGAGTCCTGATCCCTGAGTCCTGACATGAGTCCTGAGTCCTGGGTCCAGAGTCCAGAGTCCAGAGCCCTGAGTCCTGAGTCCTGAGACCTGAGTCCTGACCTGAGTCCTGAGTCCTGAGACCAGAGCCCAGAGTCCTGAGTCCTGAGTCCTGAGTCCTGAGACCAGAGTCCTGAGTCCTGAGTCCTGAGACCAGAGTCCTGAGTCCTGACCTGAGTCCTGAGTCCTGAGACCAGAGCCCAGAGTCATGAGTCCTGAGTCCTGACCTGAGTCCTGAGTCCTGAGTCCTGGGTCCAGAGTCCAGAGTCCAGAGTCATGAGTCCTGAGTCCTGAGTCCTGACACCAGAGCCCAGAGCCCAGAGTCCTGAGTCCAGAGCCCTGAGTCCTGAGTCCTGAGACCAGAGCCAAGAGTCCTGAGTCCTGAGTACTGAGTCCTGAGTCCTGAGACCAGAGCCCTGAGTCCTGAGACCAGAGCCCAGAGTCCTGAGTCCTGAGTCCTGAGTCCTGAGACCAGAGGCCAGAGTCCTGAGTCCTGAGTCCTGAGACCAGAGCCAAGAGTCCTGAGTCCTGAGTCCTGAGTCCTGAGTCCTGAGTACTGAGACCAGAGACCAGAGCCAAGAGTCCTGAGTCCTGAGTACTGAGACCAGAGCCCTGAGTCCTGAGTCCTGAGACCAGAGCCCTGAGTCCTGAGTCCTGAGACCAGAGTCCTGAGTCCTGAGTCCTGAGCCCTGAGTCCTGAGTCCTGAGTCCTGTGTCCTGAGTCCTTAGACCAGAGCATAGAGTCCTGAGTCCTGAGTCTTTATGCTAAGTGGTCTCACCGTAGATCTTGAAGGCGTAGATGGTCTTGAGTTCTCGTGGACTCGTTTCACAGAAAGCGGAGAACATGTCCACAAAGTCGTTGAAGCTCATGTTCCCCAGTCCGTCCTCGGAGAAAGTCTCAACGATCCGGTCCCTGAACGGGTTCTCCTGCCGGGACAGAACCACAGAGAACCCTCTCATCAGAACATATAACAGATACTGATGTTTCATTCAACACAGAGAACTATATCATTATCTAACGGGACTGAAGCAGAGGATCGGACAGGTGACAGTTTAACGAACATCTTTCAGCCCCTGAACGCATCACCTCTGATTGGAGGAATAGCTCTGATGCTAACTGATAGTGATGCGTTGAAGTAGTTTCAGAATCTGGAGTCAGTTTTATATCAAAGTGAAGATCTCAGGAGCTTCACATCACCTTCTGACTCTGATGAGTAAAGAAAGAAAGAAAATAGAAAAGAATACAATTAAAAAAATAAAATGAAATTAAAAAATGAAATAAATAGATATGGATGTGTGTGTGGCACCTTGAGCTCCGGCATGCTGACGATGAGCGTCGGAGGGACTCTGATGTCGGGCCTGTTGGTGAAATCCAGAGGGACTAAATGTGGAGCCAGCTCACGGTATCTGCCGTGTAATCTGCAGAAGAAGAAGAGCGTCAGGTGACATTAAGCATTATGGGATGGCACTCGTTACTCAGGTTTAAAAAAGAGAGGTCATAAAGGTGAGCCTTCGTCACGGTGATCGAGATATTAACGAGCCAGAAACCTTTAAGACTTTTAACGATGAATCAGGACTGATGAGGATCTTTGTTCCACAGTGATGTCACTACGCTTCAATCAGTTCACATCTGTGTAACATCTATATGTATAGCCGACCTCCGGACAGGAAGTGGATCCACCAATCAGCTGGTTGGGATCATGTGACCTGTGATGATTTATTATTATTATTAGAGGATGAACTCACCGCAGGATCTCCTTCCTGGTGAAGAAGGTGCAGTCCTGTAAACAAACAGACACAGAATCAGCCAATCACAGAGCTGCATCTGATCTAACAGTATACAGCTCAGCCAATCACAGAGCTCCTATCAGCTCCTCTTCATCTTAATTAGTGTGCAGGATGTCCAGATGCTCGTTAAGCTGCTGTTGCATCATCTTCATGTATTTATATTATTATATATTCATATCTTTATATATTTATATTATTATATATTCATATCTTTATATTGCAGCACCTGAAACGCCTCCAGCTGCTCGTCGGTGAAGGTTGTTTGTTTGTTTCCCATCGTGTTCGTCTGCCTCTCCCATCACAGAGCTGCATCACACTGATCCTCCTCCTCTTCCTCCTCTTCCTCCTCTTCCTCTTCCACCTCTTCCTCCTCTTCCTCCTCAAATCTCTCTGCTGCTCTTCATCCTCTCTCCTCGATGTGTTTTCAGCTGATGGACGGAGGCAGGGTTACGGCTCTGGGTGCGGGGAGACAGCGTGATGCGTTCAGGGGCTGCTGGGGGAAATGGCTTTCACAGATGGAGGTGCAGCGTGTGGAATCTGTGTTAACCCTCGGGCTCCTGGATTCATTTTACATCTTTTTTGTTATTACTTATATTTGTATTCCTTATATTTTTATTCCTTAAATGTTTTATTCCTTATATTTTTTATTCCTTAAATGTTTTATTCCTTATATTTTTGTTATTGGATATTTTTTGCCTAATCACAAAGTATCCAGTGGCCTACACACGCCACTAGCCTACCAAAACTACTTCCATGAGCCTACATCGTGTGGTTTCCATAGCGACGTTTAGCGACACACAGCTGTTATACATTGTCTCTCGTTGGAAATCGGTAGCTACAAAATGTCAGATTTTAAAGTTAATTTTGATTTGTTGGGGGGCCTCAGTATTGATGAATGGTTGGCAGAGTTGGGCAAGTTACTTCCAAAATGTAATATATTACATATTACTTATTACTCTCTTTTGAAAGTAATAAGTTACATTACAATATTACTGTCTCTGAAATGTAATGAGTTACACTACTTTAGTTACTTTTTTAGTTACTTTCACCAAAATAACCGCAAAAGAATAGCTAGGTATTTGAAATGCTAAAATGTAGTTTAGTGCAGCTCATTATGCATCCAGTGAAGGGCAATGTGGTATAGCATAACAACTGTGTAGGCCCTTAAGGCTACTAACAACTTGTATTACAGGGCTTAGTTGAATACTCGATTCTGATTGTAAATTCTTAACATGTGACACGTTGTTAATACAGCAGTACAGACCGCTGTCAAGGACTATAATGAAGGTTAACATATTGTAAATCAAGGCAAATATTATTTAAACCATGCTCATGGTTTGAAATGGCAAACATTGAAAGGCAAAAGTATTATTAAAACCATGTAGCCTACTACATCATCACCTTGGTCCCATCATATACGCTGGGAAGAGAATATTTACTGTTCTTGAAAACTGGTATCACGTCATCATGTGAGGTTGACTTTGTGACCTGGAGAACATTTCAGCTGCAACATCAGCTCGTTGATAATAAGCTTGGGATATGAGATATTTTTGTAGCCATTCGTGGTGAAGGCATCTGTGCTATTGTATGCATTATTTTTGACCCAACATTTCTACAGGCATGTCAGAATATGGTACTATTTTCACATGAATATTCCATTGTCTATTTTTATACCACAAGCTGCCAAATGACCGCCTTACCCCACTGTACAGGCGGG